GATATCTAATGGATCAATTTCACCAACTGCCAAGTGTACGACGAGATCTTTGGGCAATGCACTGCCAGGTGGTACTCAGCAAAAGGGAGAGTGATGATTTCCCAAGGATCAGGCCCTATGCAAGTCAGACACATCAGCTAGCACAACTTTGACACTGACCATAATCTCTTTCTGACTTGCGCAATTCTTTGGCCGATCTTCCATGGAACATCACGGTGCCGCCTTGCAGAAGGGCATGCATTTCGACACTTCTTGTGCCTTTCGTCAACCCATCTGCACACTGGTGACGTGTTGGAACCCACATGAGGTAAGCCTTTTCTCCATCTAAAGGTTTCCCAAAATCAACAGCACACAACTGTCTTAACACAGTGACATTAAGAGCATTCCCTTTATCACCAATGCTGTGACTGCTACTTCGGATGCTGTCATAAACTGATTTGCAATCAGTGACCATCATCAAAGGCGTGTGATCGTTCCACGGCGTGTCTTCACCTCCTTTCACACTCCAGCTTCCCACGCAGATCTCCACATAGAGGGCCCTCAAATGATGGCCGGTTCCGTGTCCCATTGTAGCTCCGTGTGTTTCTGCTGCGAAGCTGCTCTCGATTACCCTCTTGTTTGTTTTCGATTTCCATGTAGCAAAGTTGACCCTTACTGGGTCTGTCCTGTCAAGATCACTCTTTTTGACAAACCCTGCAATGCAACCCTTTTGAGAAAAAATCATTTTGTCTTTGAAGCCATGAACCGGTTCATCCTCTTGGTCCTCCAATTCAACCCCTAACGAATTGTACAAACTAGTATCATGCCAAGAAACCACAGCAACATCCCTTCCAAGATCATGAAACACAAGACTCAAAGGGTGTTTCTTCACAAAACGAACAACCTTGTTAACTTCATCTAAATCACCAACCGTCAACTTATTAACACGCTTTTGCAACTGATTGACAGAGAAAGAAATATCGCCACGAAACTGAGTACTCAACCATTGAAGAGAACCAAGGACTGACCTAAAGTTTCCCTTTTCTTCATCATT